TTATGACCATGCAAAAACACCTGCCCTTTCACTAGTAGATTGCTCATTTTCATTTAAAATGGCCATATTTATGAAACTTATGGCCCAAATTTGAACCTGCATCCTTTTCTCCTTTGATGTGAAGTTTCTAGAGGCCAGAGGTTATGTCCACTTGACTTGTTTCATAGAGTGTTTAGCCTGGTGTTGCCTGCAATTACGTCCTCAATATGCGCTTGTTCATCTGCGGAAACTGCTCTTCATCCTTCAGGGCTCACCTTGGTGAAGTCTTCTGTGACCTACCGTCCCCCATCTTGATACAGTGGCTCCTGTAGCATCTCAACCTATTTCTGTAATTAGGCTTATGTGTTTATTTCCTTGTTTAGAAATGGGCTGTGTCTTTCTCATCTTCGTGTTCCTGCAGTGTCTAGCTCAGTGCTTGTCATTTAGCCACTGAATGTATGACAACTGAATAAGAGGAAGTTACTCCTAGAAGTACGAAACAACTTACGAATGTCTGTGCTAGCCACTGGCGTTTACCTTATGAGGGTAAATACCTTAAAGGGTATTTTATTTTAGTAAGTCATTGCTGTTGCAAAAAAAAAAAAAAAGCTTCCAAGCTTTGACTCTTGGAAACGCTACTTACAGGATATTTGATTGCCGAATTGTTTAGTTAATGTTTGTAACAAATACTAAATAATAGGTCCCTCCTCAGGGAGTCTGACAAGTAGTCACGTGACCTACAGAGATACAATCCTAGCATTTAAGCAGTTATAGGGGGGCAAGCAGTTGGCCAGAATTTGAACTTGAAAAAGGGAAACACTACCAGAAGATTCGATAATAGGATGGACTTAGAGGATTTTATTTGAAAAAAGTAGATCTTAAACTGCAAATGCAGGGACAGGCAGCATACAGTGTGGCATGGTGGGTCAAAAATTTTTTCATGCATATATGAGAGCTCTGACCAAGGGTAGTAGCCAGAGAGAAAGGAATGCAAACTGAGTTCTCTTCGGATCATTTGTTCTTGGCTCAAATGTCACCCCTCAGCCCTTCCTGCTCATCCTACAGTTTCCAACCACCACTCCTCATCACTTCGTGGTGTTTATATATTTTACAGCACTTAACCTTGTTTGTCATTATGGATTTATTTACTAGATTATTGCCTGTGTCCTCCAATAGACTGCAAATTTCTTGAGTGCAGAGACCAGTTGTTTTATATTTATTATGCACATTCAGCATTACTATGAGGTGATTAGAAGGAAGTGAATAAATGTTTATTAAATAGTAGACAAGCAAATGAATGACTGAAAAGTACCTAAACAAAGATGTTTATCCAGGTTTACTTATAGGCCAGGTCAAAGTGAGCAATGAGGCCAGAAACGCATTCTTTGGAGGCATTTGTCAGAGGCTTATATTTGAGGCAGCAAGTTTACACAGAAGAGCCCTTGCTCAGAAGTCAAAGGTATGGATTCCACGGGGGGTGGGGGGAACAGCTCAACGGTATAGCACCTGCTTAGCATGCACGGGGTCCAGGGTTCAATGCCAGCACCTCTGTCTTAATGAATAAATAAATAAACCTAGGTACCTCCCCTTCCACCAAAAAAAATTAAAGAAAGAAAGATGTGGATTCAAGATCCAATTGCCCATTTGTACAATCATTAACCACTAAACTTCTCTCCACCTCAGTCTTCTCATCTGTGACACAGGAAACTCAGACTAGACGATCTGTAACATATGCCTTCCCATCATGCATTACATGCATTATTGAGCATCTACTATGTGGATTGCACTATGCTGCATGATTTTTTAAAAGTCAAAATCTATGCATAGTGGAAGACAAATGGGATTAGACAAGTCTGCAAGTAGCCTTGCTACAGCACCCCATTTTAAGAGGAAAAAAATGGGGCAACATTTTGTAATTCAGACCCTCAGATTATATTCTCAGAGCTTGAAAAGACAATAATGTGGTTAAAGCAGGGGCAACTATGATTTCAACTGTGGCATATAAAGTCTGAAAGTCATAAGAGAATTTAGGTCTATAATGAGGTTAAAGAAACTAGAAATTAAGTGATAAGGACTGGAGGGAAGAGTTCCATGGTGGGGACAGAGAAAGACAGAAATACTCTGACGGCACAGTGACTTCTCATTGATCCCCTCCCTGATCTTTGGACCACGCTGATGGGACAAGACAAGGTCAACAATACTGGGCGACTGCAGAAAGAAGGCAGGGCAGGAGACCAGGAGAACAGAACCTTCTGCTACGTGCCAGGTCCTCTGTTTATCTTGTTCACTACCATATCCCAGAACTCAGCCTGGTCTTTGACTCATGCTATTTTTTTTTTCAAATAAATAAATCAGGAGAACCTATCCATTATGAGCTCTTTAAGGGAGTCCCTAGGGCACTGGACAGGCACTGCATACCTGTGTGGTGAATTAATGATTGAAAAAAGTGAAAGATACAATTTCCCTCATGTTCTTTTAAAAGAATTAAGACATCTTTAAAATATGCCTAGTTTCAGGCTAAAGTAACCCATGCATGTACTTAGTAATTAAAAAAAATCCCTCAACCCTTTTGGAAGACAGCACCCATTTTATTTCCCAAACAATAACCCCTCAATAATCTGTAAAGAAAGCAATTAAAGAGGAGACTTAACTTGTTCAGTGTGAATTTTCTTAATAAGTAATGAATGCTAAGATGTTTGCCAACTTCAACACTAGAAAAACATTTAAGGTTTACTGTTAAGGTTCATTTCCTTGGTCCAGTTCCTAACCATTCAAAGGGTTTCCAAAGACATTCACCTCATAAGACAGTTTGTTTTGGGCCAAGCAGAGTTATTTGTTTTGTACCAAGTTTTCCTCCCTTTCTTTGTGCGGTGATGGGCTTCATTAAGTAACCTGTTATATTGAAGCGGAGCATCTTGCATCACTTAGTGTTTATTGAAACACTGTGCTGTGTGTGGGCGGTTTATGGCTACGACAGAAGAGCCCTGTTTCTGCTTCTCAATCAAAGGGAAAGATGCAATACTTGAAGTTGCATTTGTAGCTGCAGGGGACTGCAAGGATTGTTTACAGTATTTTGGACAATGACAGATTTTGTAAGAAAGCCAAAGGCTCATGCAGGGTGGGTGGCACGGCGAGGGGAGAAACTGGCTCTGCTGATAAGAGAGAAGAAGGCATCGTCTGTCTTACAGTCTTGTTCGGTTCTCTTCTAAGAATGCAAGAACGAAATTTTCAACTGCTCTTCTTGGGGTTAGCTGGTTCTGAGTGCTCATGATGTGAGGCCAGTTTTAACAGGGGTACGTGAGGATGGAAACTACCTTTCCTCTAGCTTCTTGCTTCCTGGCAGCATAACACTGATGACTGAAATGGTTTGGTCTCTGTGCCCCTGCCCTTATTCCTCCTCAGGATGGGAAGTGGGGTTGATCTGCCTGGTAAATGTGTGAGTGAGACCTAGTCTACCTAGCTCAGGCTCTGAC